AGTAAATTAACCAAAATATGCAATGGTTCCCTGCCGGAAAACAAATTTAAAACACCCCAAATTCATAAGACAAATTTAAAATTTAAAAATTTAAAAACAATTAAAAACAATTTAAAAGAGAGGTTAGGCCAGGCCAGCCTGCTGGAATAGAAATGTTTTAATGGCACGGCGGAAAGCGCGCAGATCCGGGATCCTCCATATCTCTGGGGGGAGCTCGTTCCAGATGGCGGGTGCCCCCACAGAGAAGGTTCTCCCCCTGGGGGCCGCCAGTTGACATTGTTTGGCCAACGGCACCCTGAGGAGCCCCTCTCTATGGGAGCGTACTGGTTGGTGAGAGGCGGTCTCGTAGATACCCCGGTCCTAAGCCATGGAGCGCTCTAAAGGTGGTAACCAAAACCTTGAAGTGCACCCGGAAGACTACCGGGAGCCAGTGCAGCTTGCGCAGGAGGGGAGTCACATGGGAGCGCCACGTCGTTCCCATAACCACCCGCACGGCTGCATTCTGGACCAGCTAGAGCCTCCGAGTGCTCCTCAAGGGGAGCCCCATGTAGAGAGCATTGCAGTAGTCCAGGTGGGAAGTTACAAGGGCATGAGTGACCATATTTAACGAGTCCCGATCTAGAAAGGGACGCAAGTGGCAAATCAGGCGAACCTGATAAAATGCCCTCCTGGCCACAGCCGTCAAGTGCTCTTCTAAAGACAGCTGTGAGTCCAGGAGGACCCCCAAGTTGCGAGTCCTCTCCGTGGGGGCCAACGACTCGCCCCCAATAGTCAGTGATGGCACCAACTGACTATATCGGGATGTCGGAAACCACAGCCACTCGGTCTTGGATGGGTTGAGCCTGAGTCTGTTCCTCCCCATCCAGATCTGTACAGCCTCCAGGCACCGGGATATCACTTCAAAGGCATCATTGGAGTGGTCCGGGGTGCAGATGTACAGCTGGGTGTCATCAGCGTACTGGTACCCGAAACCACGGATGATCTCACCCAGCGGCTTCACATAAATGTTGAACAGAAGGGGCGAGAGGACCGACCCTTGTGGCACCCCACATACAAGGGGCCTCGGGGTCGACTTCTGCCCCCCTGCCAACACTGACTGCGACCGGTTGGAGAGGAAGGAGGAGAACCACTGCAACACGGTGCCTCCCACCCCTAACTCTTCCAGCCGGTGCAGCATGATACCATGGTCGATGGTATCAAAAGCCGCTGAGAGGTCTAATAGGACCAGGACAGAATAAACTTTGTTCAGAATAAAAATGTAGCATTTATCCAATATCTTCTGTCCTATTGAACAGTCCTCTAAAGAAGCATTTGGTAATAAACGTATATTGGCAGAGATTGCTGAATTTCTTCTGTCATACAAATGGGGCAAATCAAAATGTTTTTGTTTCTGGGAGACATTTCACTTACATATAGTTTCCCCCACCCCAAAGACAGGTCCCTAAATTGCCACGGTTTTCTCACAGATTAAGCCTTCAGCTATATTGTAACTCACAGGACCTCCATGTATAAAATCTGTGGAGTTCTTGGCATTCTCTGAGTTTGGTTGTTTGCATGCAAATGTTTCATTATCTGACCAGATTGCATCATTAGTGCTAGTCAGTGTGACTTCACTATTCATCTCTGAGTTGCTTCTGTTCAAATGTGTAAAATCTGTTTATTTTATAAAAGAAGTTGTATCATCTTAAAATATCTAGATTGCAGCAAAAAGAAAACTAATAATTCCCAGTCATATTGATGGCAAAAACTTTCTCCTGTTTAAGTGATTTAAAAGACACAAAATTCTGCCGGTTCAGTTACATTTCTTACAATTAAGATTATTTTCTGTAGTTAATTTGGATTGTTGGGAAGTGTCAGAGTGTTAAATCCAGAAGTGTTTTAAGTGATAGACAAGCTGACAAGTTTTAGAGTAACGATGATGTGGAAATACATTCATGTTTATATACTTTTAAAAATCTAAATTAGTCTAACATTTTAGATTCTACAAATATTATGCCATTTTAAAGTATATTTCCAGAGTAAATTATATACTGCTTAAACCTGTAATGTCTCTTTCATACATCTCTACTGAATATGTATCCTCTTAACTGCATGGTGAATGTGTTGTGACAAGCTGATAATATTTTTTTACATGGTATTTTAAGTTTTCTTATGCCAAGAATTTGCAAGAGGCTATATCAGTTAGTTGGCAAAGATACGTCACAATAATGCTTTTTTAATTTTCTGATCTCTGTTGGTTAGCTGAAGAGCATAATACTTATATATGTGAGTAGCAATTATAAGTTTCATCCTTTTCATTGTGAAAAACACGCAGATGACAACAAAAGTAACCATTTGTGAATAAGATCCAAAGGGTTACATGTACATTTGATGCATGCATTAACATGTATGTATGTTTGGGTGTTTTAAGGGGCACATTCCTTGAGGTTCTCACTAAAAGGTAAAATGTCCTTTGCTTTGATTCCTGATGATACTACAGTAGTATTTAAAATAGTACAGAGATAATTCACCCGTGTCTTCTTTTGACTTCCCATTCAAATTGAAGAGGCCTTGGGCCTCTTCCATTAAAGTAATACCTAGGTCTGATTTTGCAGTATAGCTTGATTCTGTCCCTGAAGAAGTTTTTGCAGCTTCTGATACCCCTTGAAAAACCATTCCTGAAGATGGTCCAATAATTCAAAAATGCATTTTATATGATGCTGTTATGCAAAAAAAGTGTTTATGCAAATATTTATACATATGCAGCTACCTAGTGGTTAATTCTTTGCAAATTTTTCCACAGGGAAATAATATGCCATGTTTTAACAAAAATTAATAATTAATATCTCTATATATTTCTTTCTATCTATCTATCTATCTATCTATCTTATCTATCTATCTATCTATCTATCTATCTATCTATCTATCTATCTATCATCTACATCCATGACATCCATGTTACACAATTCTAAAGAGTATAAAATTTAGTCAAAAGGTACATTCTGAGTTTCTTATATATTTGCTAGGAGCTAAATCGATTCTCTCCCCCTCCCCCCCAAAAAAAGTTTAATTCAGTTAAACTGAAATTTAGGTTTTTTTAATCCATCATTAGATTTAGGGCTGATTTTCAATTTCAAGTACCTAAACAGCTACTGAATATAGGCCCCAAAGTGAGAGAAAAATAACCCAGAAAACAGATATTATATTGTGTGTCTCTATTTATTATTCCCTTATACATTTCAGATGGTTTCTTTATCAAGGAGGAGTCCATAATGTTAAATGTCAACCATGAGTCTTGTTTCTTTGACTGATGCAGACATGCAATGCAGCATCTGTTTTCTGTGTTTTTTTCCTTGTGATTTTCGTCACGTTTTTCTTCCTTGCGGCTGCAATTTATAATTTTATTACAAAGTCTTCTGTTTCAGGCAGATTAATGCAGTTGCCACAGATGGATAGGGCAAGAAATATATACATTGAACAATCCAAAGTGAGAGAGGATAATAAAGATAGAATGGAGTTTCCACAGGCTTTTTGCCTGGGTGCTTCCCCAGATTATTATGGACTGTGTAGACCTAAACACTGTTAGATAATGAACATAACACCAAGCAAATTATTACAACAGTTGTTGGTCCCATACAAAATAAAGTCAGCATAATACCATGTTTCTCCGAAAATAAGACCCTGTCTTATATTTTTTTGAACCCCAAAATAAGAGCTTGGCCTTATTTTCGGGGAGGTCTTATTATTTTGGGCCACATGGAGGAAACCAGAGGAAATGGTGGGGACTGGCTGCACATGTGTTTAAATATTTTTGGGGAGGGCTTATTTTCGGGGGGGGCTTATTTTAGCGCATGCGCTCAAAAACCCGATTTGGCTTATTATCCGGGGATGTCTTATTTTCGGGGAAACAGAATAACAGTGGAAAGAAACACCATTAGGATAAAATTCACAAATATGCAAGTCCTTTTCTGCTTTCAATCTGGTTGTCAGCTACTACCAAAAGGAGTATGAAGACAACTGCCTTTCCTTGTAGTTTGCCACTGAATCATACCTTGTCTTTGATTTTACACTGCTGTTTGTAGAATTTAATAAAGCAAATGTAATAATGCTGCTAGTACCTTAATCTACAATCTCAATTTAGCTGACCATGAGATAAATAGGAGCAGGAATGATAGTGCATTTCTACGGATTGTTTTTAATAAGCATGTTATTTAGTTGATCGTCCAAGAGCAGCAATGCCTCGCTTTCTAGTCTGCCAGACAAATTTATTAATGCTTCCTGCCCTTCCTCCAACTGATTCCCTGCAGACAAATCTCTATTGAGCCTTTAGAAAGTCACAACTTCCAAATTAGATTAAGTACTAGGAATTGCACTAGCAGAATCAAAGAAAATTGAATGTGTTATTGAATTCATGCCACATTGTCTCTGTAAAGGACTGACTTTAGATATAACAGTAACTTTAGGCCTTAGTTTGCTATGAGCAGTTGCTGCTATGTACTTGAAAAGGGTTAATCTTTGTTTGTTTGTTTTTTCATTTATCTCTACTGAGGCTGCAAAAAGAGGAAAAAAACTTCAGTGATAAATGCTTTTGAGGGGGAAAAAATATTCATAGATTTCTGTGCCTGACCCAGTTTCTGTACATCGTGCATAGAAAATTAACAAATCATGAAAGATTTGGCATTGGAGTGTAAGCATGCTTACTTGTCATTTGATAAATACATTCATTTTAGAACTGCCTGTTTCCCATTTGGGCCTGACATATTAAGAGGTGCATAATTAATGGATGACATAAATAATTAACATTAACTTTACGGTGCTTAATATGCCATCATTTATCCATCAAATTGCTTGTATGGATAAATGTCCTTCCGTCAAGTTTTGAATTACGAAAGGTGATTTCTAAATCCTTAAGTTTGTGTGTTGCACAATAACTATCCTCATGCATCTTAAAAAAAAAATTCAATTACTCTTCCTCCCAGGGCAATAGACTTTATGGTCACATCACCTTTATTTCTTCTTAGAGCAGCACATGAGCAGTTAAACCAGGGACTTCGGTTAGGCAATCCAGGCCCCAATGCACAGCCTTCATCAGTGGCGAAAGAGCACCACCTTGCTGTTGCCAAAGCTCTCTGGAGAAATTTCTTTCCTTACTTGAAGGGCCAGAGGATGGTGAAGACTCCCCCTCCTCAGCTTGCCGATACAGCTGCAGGTTTGTACTCCCAACTTGACCTCGTCTTTCTTGTGACCGTGATGCATTCTTCCTGTTTCTAAGTAACTTGTTACTGGATATAGTAGAATTTACCTGCACATTGTAAGATTCCTGTAGGCAGCCTTTTGATGCATGCATACACCTCAGTGGGAAAAGAGAGAGGGGCCCTCATATTTTCCTCTTAGTAGAGGGCTCACTTTATTCATAGGGTCCCTCGGATCTATAAATCGAGTGGCACTTTTTTTTTGGTTAGATGTTCATTCTATTTGAAATGTGTAGTTGTGATCTTAAGCAACGTTAATGGTTGATACGTCACCATATTCAATACCATGCGTATTCTCCGTGCTTAAATGAGTTTGTTCAGAGTCTCTTGCCGCTACAAATTCCCTTCCCTCGGGTTTCTCTAAGATTATGATAATCTTCACTGTTCTGTAAATATATCAGGTAAGATTTCAAATACATTGTGTGACTTTTTTTAAAAATAATAATAATAATAATACCCTATATTCTGAAGTCTTATAATGTAAGAATGCTGCTCAAAATTCTAGCAGATGGAACAACATCTTGCAACAAAACTATAAAAATGGTGATCCTTGACTTCACTGGAGCTGTGCCCACCCGATCCGGTTCCTTTGTATTTTAATATAGTACTATTTCTTCCATGATATTCCTGTATACTAATTCTGTATATTTCAACTCAGTGCAAGAAGACTTGCATTTAGTTATAATACCTCACCGAACCCATTTCAGTATTATTTGTAAAAGATAGATTTGAATTTAAATGTATTTTCCTCAATATGAATTAAGAACCGAACATATGCATTTTTAAAATCCTAATCATTAATGGAAAAAGACCTTGCATTTCAGCAGCTTTGCAATCGTTAAGATATAATAACGGCGGAATAAAATGCAATTTCCTTGGCATGTAATGACATATGGATACAACACTAAAGCAGTGGCTCTAGTACCTTCTTTTAGTCCATTCTAGTTTTCCTTGCATAGTTGCTTTAAAAAGTTTTTTTTTAAAAAGAACTATATAATTGATCGTCACTAACATTGAGAATATAGCAATGTTTGTGTTAAAATGCTAAAGAACAGTGAAAGTATAAGTTTCTTAATACATATTCAGTGAATGAATAAATGACAAAGCACAGTTAAGTTTTAACTCATTTTGATTGAGGAATTAGTGCCAATATCATTTTCCTTTCTACCCAAATGTCCGCAAAGATAAAAATAAACTCGGATTATAAATACAGTGGGTTGATCTATGATAGAGAGCAAGGCCGACTGATGAAGCTAATTTGACAACATTTGGCATAATCCGTGTCACTTTATGATTCCTGTTTCGAGTTTCTTTCATTTTTAATAATAGAATTTCCTGGAAATAGAAAGCAGCTGGTGGAAACAGATTTTAAGATACAAACAGCAAGCAGGAAAAGCATATGTCTTGAAGCTCTGCTCAAGATTTCAAAGTATTTATATTCACTGGGGAAGGGGAAGGAATCTTAGTATTTTAAAAAAACAGTGGTGTACAAAGCATAGAAGTTTGTTCTACTTCTTTGCTTTTCTAACATATAGCCACTTCATTTTTTAAAAACAGGTTTGACTTTGTTAGCTTTGGATTTACCCAGCACATGTACCTCAGATCTCCAGCCTCAGCCAATTATATCTATGATGCAGTTGTTTGGATGGGATGATATGGTTTGCCCTCAGCTGGTATCAAGGTATCTAACTCACCTGATACAAAACAGGTAAGCCATACAACATCTTGGTTAAATAAAAGCAGGTGTTGGCATAACTTTGGTTTACTTCTTCTATTGCAGTAACATGTAGGTTTTTTTTTACTGTAGATTTTTGTGAAAGCCGGGTTGAAAATCTATTTTCTAGATTTTTTTCAGTTATACAAATAACAATGCCAATATTATCCTTCCAATACACTAAATAATCCAATTTCAAAAGCCATATTGTCATGCTTTTGTCAAGTCTGACTTAATTCTTCTCAGTCTGCTAGGAAACAGATGTATGGTAGGGAAAGAGGAATGTCAGGAAAAAAGAGGGGTGTCAGAAGATAGAATAATGAAGAAGAAAGGGAATGGATGTGTGGTGGAGAGTAAGGACACTAAATTGCATTTGCAAACAGAGATTATCATTTTTCTTCTCTCTTAATAGTTCAGGAGAACCAACTCCAATACATTATATTAATGTTCCTGAAAACATTGATGTTGTATTATATTTACATTGATTTTCCTAACTCCCTGGCCTATAAAAGCTGCATGGAACTTTTGAGCTGTTCTGCTAGCTGTACACTGAAGGACTATTAGAAAACTGGGAATAAGTGAGATACTAGATCATTGATGGCTAACCTTTTCCGGACCGAGTGCCTGAACCCCCAAAATGCAATGCGTGTGCACCCACGTGCCCCACCCCCCATGCATGCGCATATGCCTCCTGTACATCCATACCCCCCACACATGCTCACAGCCCCTCTGCACATGCTCCCCCGCACATGCACACGTGGCCCCAGCATGCGCCCCACCTCACATGCACGCATGGGCCCTCCGCACGGGCCCCTCCCCACTTGCAGTAGAGACCTGATGACCAGTTGGCTGGAGGGAGGTGCGTCCGCATGCACGGCAGAGCTGAACTGGGGTGACAGCTCACGTGCCCACAGAGAGGGCACTACGTGCCACCTGTAGCACGCCTGCCATAGCTTTGCTATCACGATCCTAGATTTTGCTACAGTTTGCATTGTGCAAACTAGGTTAAGGATTTTGTTCTGCCCTGGTTTGGGAGAAGTTATGGTATTCTGTGCCATAGTGCATACAGGGCATTTCTTAGAGGCAGGAGTTCTTGGAATCATTTACAGATTTTTTAAAAATGATATAAATCAAGGAGAAGGAATGACTTTTCTACTTACCTAATTTGTTTTTCTTTATTGGCTTTCTTTTCTATATAGTGCACTGGCTGAAGCTCTTACTGGCATGGGTCATTCATCCTACCAATCCTTGTTTGTTCAGTCATGGTTTCGATGCATTTTACAGACGTTTATCAATCAGCCTCCCGAGACCTTGATCAGAACAGATGCTGAGCAAACTACCAGTATGTGCATTGGTTTATATGTGATCAGCAGCAATAGAAACTTAGTCTTTTCAACTATATGCACAATGTTAGTTTACCACTACCATCACTACTGTCACTTTTTTGCCTTATTATTCTTCCAGTTTATGTTTGCCTGCTTGGGTAATTGATTAGTTGCTTATTTTTTAATTTAAATTAAAGCAAGTATGTTCATTTGAAAACAAAAACAAAATTTCCCAAACATTGATGAATAATGTAATTAATTGGAAATCATAGGTTAAATCTGATCATTTATTTCAAAACATTTTAACTTGTGTGAGGGGGCATTTTGCTGTATGACAATTGAAAGTCTGTATTTATAGATATTAATGCTAATGATTCTTTTTATTATATTTTCAAGCAAAGGGCAAGATACGTGTGAAACTGGACTAAAAGATAGATGAATTAGTGGTCATTTCATGTATTTTAGATTTTGATCAGAGGTGATCAGATTTGAGCAGATTCTGACGGGTTCTGGAGAACCTGTAGTGGAAATTTTGAGTAGTTCGGAGAACCGGTAAATACCACCTCTGACTGGCCCCGCCCCCATCTATTCTCTGCCTCCCGAGTCCCAGCTTATCGGGAGGAAATGGGGATTTTGCAGTAACCTTCCCTTGGAGTGGGGAGGGAATGGAGATTTTACAGCATCCTTCCTCTGCCATGCCCACCAAGCCATCCCCACAGAACCAGTAGTAAAAAAGTTTGAATCCCACCACTGATTTTGATCTTTGATGATCTCACCTGAATTGGAGTTAACCTTATGAGCTTGGTTGACTTGAGTAGTGGATAAAATGTAGAAACGTAATGGGCTTAGGTTTGTTGGGGGGAAGATACTTACTAACAGTCATAGCATGATTTCCAAGAAATATCTTTGTTTTTTTAAAAAACATCCCTGCTTTTTTACAGTCTTTCAAATCTGAACTTGGTATAGTGATATTAGTCTAGAACAAGGGTGTCAAACTCGATTTCATTGAGGGCCGCATCAGAGTTCTGTTTGACCTTGGGGGGCATGGCCATGGTAGGCATGACCAGTTTAACATCATTCATGTCAGGGGCACCTGTGGTGGCCCGGGCAGGGCTGGGGGGATCCAGTTTTGTTAGTAGTTTGTTTTGCTAGCATCTGTCAAGCAAAAACGGAGCTGGGGGGGGGAGGGCACACAATTCTCCAGGCCAGGGGAAAGGGCCACTGCACATTTCACTGCTCCGTTTTCACTGGCAGAGGCACTGTGGACCGGTCCCTCACTGTTTCCAGGGCGGCCCCAAGGGCCAGATCTAAGCACCCCATGGGCCGGATCCGGCCCACGAGCCTTGAGTTTGACACCCCTGATCTAGAATAATAAGATTCAGATTTAAATTTACCCTCTTCCATCGGAGCTCACTAAGAGACTTGACCAATTACACTCTCAACTCAACCTACCTTATAAGTTTTTTTGCAGTTGTTCAGAAGTGCTGGGTTTATTGCTTTGTGCTCCTTGAGGAAACACAATATATAAATCCAACTCACAAATACTGGTGTTGGAGTACAATTCATATCTTCCCCTTGTAGAAGTTGTAGTTCACCATACCTGAGGAACTGTCTAAGGATGTATACTTGATGGGAAAAGTCCAATGCTAAGTCACATCGAATTCTTGTGTTGTGTTGATAAATAGATAAGGCTTATATGGAACAAGTGACTGAATTTACAAGATTGATATTCAAGCTGCCAGAAGTAATAACTATCTTCTCAAAGGCTCACTTTGATGAGTCAGTCTACAAACAAGATCCTAAGGAGGCTGTTTTCCGGTTCATTGAGGTACGGTGTTTATTATAAATAGCAGTTTTGGAGGAATAGAATTAGAAAATACCCTATCCTATCTTAATAGGATAGATGTGTCTCAATATCAAGAATTGCTCTCAATTTTTTCTCCTATGTTTTCTTAGGCTGTTGGAAAAAACTACAGTGAGCTTCAGCAACTGCCTGAAAAATCAGCCATGGTGACAAAGGCATTGGTATATCTTGGTGACATATTAAAATATGTAAAACCCTATTTAGTAAAGAAAGGGCCTGCAGAAGGACTTCATCTCACCTACAAGATAATAGGTAATTCTCAGGCTCAGTGTTCCCCTTATCAACAATATAAGGCAAAGCCATTAGTGTCAATGCTTCCAGGCAACTTCTCCAGCAGAACTTCTAACCTACAAAAGCCCTTTGGTTCCCTTGCAAGTGTCTGTCAATAAAACCAGCTAGGAGATATAGTGCAAGTGGGGTTATGTTCATTAAGAGTTTGCTGGGATGTGCATTTGTTAGGGATGTCAGAAATTCCTCCTGTAGCATATTGAGACAAGTTGAGAATCAACCTTTGCAACAATTTAGGAAGATCTGTCCCCAGCCTGGCCCTTCAGATCTCCAGCGTTGCCCCCATTGCTGCTGGGATTGAATCCATCAATCTTATTCCTGGCTGTCCTCTTCTTTTCTTTTCTTTCCTTACACTTTTCCTTAATCCTTAGACAGGTAGTCCTCGATTTACGACCACAATTAAGCCCCCAATTTTTTTTCTTATTAAGTGAGACATTTGTTAAGTGAACTTTGCCCCCATTTTACAATCTTCCTTGCCATAGTTGTTAAGTGAATCACTGCAGTTGATAAGTTAGTAACGTTGTTAAGTGAATCTGGCTTCCTCATTGACTTTGCTTGTCAGAAGGTCGCAAAAGGTGATCACATGACTTGGGACACAGCAACAGTCATAAATAGGAGTCAGTTACCAAGTGTCTGAATTTTGATCACATGATTGTGGGAAAACTTTTAACTTTGAAAAACAGTCATAAGTCACATTTTTCAGTGTTGTAACTTTGAACAGTCACTAAATGAACTGTTGTAAGTCGAGGACTACCTGTAATTACTGACAGTAGTTCTGCTTTTTCCTGCAGATTGTTATCTTGAGGTACTTGCAGCCTTCCTTCCTTCTTTCCTTCCTTCCTTCCTTCCTTCCTTCCTCCCTTCCTCCCTCCCTCCCTCCCTCCCTCCCTCCCTCCTTCCTTCCTTCCTTTCCTTGGAATGCTTCCCTTAGTTCTTCAGAGCTGCATACTATTACATATTTTATTAAAAGTTCTTCCCCCAGGTCATCTTCGTATCAATAATATACATTTAAAAAGTGGGGGAGAGAAAATATTATAGTACTTAGTTTCAATTTTTCTTTTTTCTTCTAATAACTGACATTCTTTTTTAATCTTTGCTTTATTTTAACGTTCTTACTTGGGAAATAGCATAAAATATATTAAATAAAAATATTGTAACTTATACCTGTCAGTCTTTCAGTTATAGTTATTTGGAAGAGCAGCATAAGGAATTCCAGAAAACATATCTCCATTAGAAAGAATTTCAGCATATTAAGGCTATGTTGATACCGTCATTCTCAGAATAGCCAATCTATTGATTGCCTCGTGGCATTCAAAGTCAATCTATATTGCTAGTTTTGATTCATTTTCCTGTGCAGACCTAAAAAAATTACTGAGGAATGAAAGTGGGTCACACATTCTGTTCTAATGCAGGCTCCGTCATTCTGTGAGGTTTCTGTTGATGTATTTGAAGCAAGGCTATCCTTTTTCCCAGTGATATTTCCTATTTAGGGAAGTAAAGGGGGATTCAAAATATGTTGCTGAATGTTTTTTTGCATTTATAACATTTGTTTTGCTTTATATTTATTAACCAACTATGTTACTGCTTTCGATGAAAACAAAAGGCAAAAGCAATTTGCATTAAAAATGATCATACCAAATAGTAAATACACAAGTACAAAAGTAGCATACATTAGCATTATTTCTTTAGTATACTATTCCCTGACGTATCTGGTTTCAGTCCAAAGTTCACAACTCTCATTTTTAGTTCACTGTATAAATGGACGTTCACCATCCCCAGGATTATTAAGCGGGATATATGGAAATGTGACTATTTGGTTGCTATAGTTACCAGTAGACATGAAATCCGGCAGAAATATTTCTTCATGCTTCCTCTCTCTTTTTGCAATTTCAACTTTTGGTTTTCTTGGTTTTATTTCGACAGGATGCCTTGTGAAGTCCTGGGCAGCCATATTGGCTACTTCCAAAGCACAACCCCTCTTGTTCCGTATTATAGATTGCTTGCTTTTGCCCCATGCTGTGCTTCAGCAAGATAAAGAACTACCTGCAGTGATGTTGGCTGCCATTCGTGAGAATCTCCCATTTTTTCTTCAGGTGCGTTGGTCTCTCTATACTATGTTCATATGAAAACACACACACAGGGACGGACATACACACACACACATACACACACACACGGAAAGAAGCACCACTTTGATGTAGTAGTCCTAGAAATCAGGAGTCTGTGAGTTGGGCAAGTCACACTCTCTCAGCCCAAGCCCACCTCACAGGATTGTTGTGGAGAAAATAAAAAGAAGAAGGAGTATTATGTCTGTTTGCCACCTTGAATAACTTATGAAAGTAATAAGGTGGGTTAAAAAAATTCTACAGTATGCGTGTGTTTGCATAATAGAAGTAATAATGAGCACATGCATATATCGTTAAATTCACAAGTACCGCAAGATTAGAGGTGATTGCACAATGCTCAGGGCTTGATTTTAATTATCTCAAAAGTATTTGCTACTTGTTCAAATACCTGACCTAGGCACATTTCTCTCCCTTATGTGTTTTAAAAAATGAAAACTGCACTTGTGAAGCAAATGATTGTTGTTGTTTTTTATAATTTTTATTAATATATTCTATACACCAATACACAAATAAAATATACAATCCTGCCACCATGGTATAATGTGATTACATTGTCCATAAATATAAAGTCATTCCTTTATACATACATATTTGCCATCATATATATACATCAACATATATCTATTCTATCCCACCTTTTCTGGACCCAATCGTACCATAATTTCCAACTGTTATAAAATTCTGAATCTTTTTTACCATTGATCAATCTAGTTAATCTATCTGATTCCGCACACTCATTAAGTGAAGCAAATGTTTGTTTATGTATCATTCACTGATTATGGATATTCCTCACATAAACACCATTTGTTTGGTGGCCATCAGAAGTTAAAATGGTGCTGAACATATGTTATGTAACACCCAGTTCCTGAAGTTAGCAGCCATTGGAGTAACCCCCATTGTCACATGACCAAAATTTGAGAACTTGGCAGACTGTGCCCACTTACAACTGCTAAGGGGTTTCAACTCCCCCCCTCCATCTTTGCCCTTTGGCCGCCCTGCAAAACAACACTCCTTGGTGGCAGTGGCCGTGGTAGAGCTTCCTTCTACTGATAAAATGCCAGCTGTCACTTGATCATTTTGCTAGTGTGAATTCAATATATGACCCTTCATGAATTCTCCAATAATAACTGCATATGGTTATGGAGTCATGATTTACTTCTGTTCCTGTTAATCTTAGAAAGCGTTTTCAACAAAACCTGTTTAAGCAGATAGGAGGAAAAAATGCATAGAATAAACAAAAAGTCATGAACAGAATATTCTTTATTCTAGCTACAACAAGCATAAATTTCATATAAAATAAGAAAAAGGATCAGAAATGAATACTCCAAAGCATTCATAGTTTTTTAAATAAGCTATAAAATATTGGGGTCCTTCACAAAAGGTTTCCTGACATTGCTTTTCATTTTTTAATTTGGGGAGTTTAAATATTAATTCCAAATACTAAAACTAAAATTAAATTATTGGATGGAAGCAAGATAAGAAAAAAATGTTTTTAACCATAGATAAGTGATCTTCAACAACTAGTATCCCAAAAGAAGACTTTATTTTGTTTTATTCTTTTATGAATTATGCAAACACAGTTTATGTCAGTTATTCCTGCACGATTAAATTACATAATAGAATTTTTGGTCAAATATGCAAAATGTAAGTCCTCTTGTTTATTTAAGCTAGGCATTTTATATTAATGACCAAATAATATGTTAAAATTTGTTTGGAACTTTTATATGATTCTATAATAAATTGTATACCTTATTTGTATATTGTCCCATGGCTAACTTAATTTTTACATTGTCAATCTTTTAACTAAAGAAAATGTCGTCAACCAAATGTTACAGATGGGCACATGATAATGCTGCTATACTTAGATTATGCACTGGTCCAGGGGTCAGCAACCTGCGGCTCTGGAGCTGCATGTGGCTCTTTGGGCCTCTGCTGTGGCTCCCTGTCAGGTGATCCCACCACTGGCTGGCCCCACCCCTCGCCCTCCCCTTCCAGTACTCCTCACATGGCCTGAGAAGGTAAAGGCGATGGCGGGGGATGGCGAAGCGGCCAGGGCGGAGACAGAGAGATACAGAGAGAGCGGGAGAGGGGGTGGGTGGGAGGGGAGAGAGATATATGTCAAAAGAATTTTGTGGTTCCCGGTGTTTTTTAACAACTGGTTCTCTGCCCTAATGACTGGCTGGGTAGGCGTGGCTAGGGGAGGTCATGTGACTGGTGGAAGTGAATGACATTGGGTTGGCCACGCCCACCCAGGTTTTGTGGCTCCCGATGTTTTCTTTTCTGTGGGAAACAGGTCCAAATGGCTCTTTGAGTATGTAAGGTTGCAGACCCCTGCACTGGTCCAATGAATATCACCACGGACTAAAGAGGGGCACACTAATCTTTATCACTCTTCTGTAGAGAGTAGCACCTGGAGTTAGACCTCAATAAAACTTAAGTATTCCTAAACAGGCTTGATAGCCTGACATGGATCATTAATGGGTAGAAGTTGAAGCAGGTGGTACCAAGGGGTGATTTTCTACTCATCTGATTATTAAAAAATAGACTTTTATATGGAGCCAGAAGGCTCAAGGGGCATTTCAGAACCCAAGGGGATTTCAATTTATCCCAGCTGCTATTGGGTATTTTGTGGCTAACCCCCTGAACCAACTTCTCTATAAAGTAGAATTTGGTTTGAGAGAAAAAGGCAGTCTGCTTGAGATCATCCACACCAAGTCTCTGAAGTATTTCAAGTGCCGGATTGCATTTCAAATGTGGCACGTTGTTTACAAGTAAACGTAGGGCCTGGATAAAGGTATTTAGAGCCTTGATAGTACAGTGGTTTAGTGCACCCTGTTATTAACACAGCTGCCTGCAATTTCTGCTGGTTCGAATCTCTCCAAGGCTCAAGGTTGACTCAGCCTTCCATCCTTTCTAAGGTGGGTAAATTGAGGACCCAGTTTGTGGGGGCAATAAGCTGACTTTGTATAAAATATACAAAAGAATGAAGGCTATTGCTTAACGCATTGTAAGCCGCCCTGAGTCTCCGGAGAAAGGCGGCATATAAATCAAATTAAAATAAAAATAAATAAAAAAATAATAAAAATATTTAACATTTTGATTAATGCTGTTCGTTTGTTTTTTAATATAAAAATGGCCTGGCCCCTTTAACACTGATAGATTCTTTGTGTGCATCCTGAAAACTGATAAGCTATAGACTCAGCTTTCTCCCAGAGGCTGGTGAGCTACAAGTACACTAAAGACACTGAAATAAAGATTTTCCAAAATTGACAGAAAGAGTGAGGTAGAAGCCCTCAAGTTTAGTAGCAAAAACCTAGCTTCATAGTTTCCAGGTGGCATGATGTGTCAAACATCTTACCCTCCCAAGTAACATAGTGTTTTTCCTTGAAGATCTTAACATCCTCCCTTTAGCAATTCTCATGGATATTCATGATAATTCATAAGAACACTCAGTAGGACTCTGCCCACAAGGGGCAAGCATGATTAAAACTTGGCTCCACATTTTTCAACTCTTCTGTAACGACATCTTAATATCGTGATAACCCCTTTAGTACATGATTTCCATAGCTTACTTTTGTAAGCTATTTACTTGCAGACAGAGATTGCAAAATCGTATATGTATATGTATATATATATGTATATGTTTGTGTGGCAGTGTCTGGGCAACTGACTGGAGCTAGCGGAGTGTTTTAATGGCCGGATGCCCTTCCTGTTGCCAATGCAGAGTTTTGTTCAGCAGATATATTCTCAGTGTTCCCAGAGATAGAAAATCTGCCTCTACTTAGGATCGAACTCACAGCCTCCTGATTGTGAGGCAAGAGCTCCACCTCTAGGCCACCGCTCTCTCTTTCTCCCCCCCTCCTCTCTCTTTCTGTGTGTGTGTGTGTGTGATGAATGTTTGAAAGTCACTCAGTCAGTTCTCATGCTTAAGTGGGACTAGAACTCATAGTCTCTTGGCTTCTAGGTCAGCACTTTAACCACTACATCAAACTGAAATAGTCAGATATCATATTATTGGCTGATTTTATTTGTGTAGTATATATTTCCAAGAAATAGACTATACTTACAATATAATATAGAAAAATACATCACTATATATAAAACATTTCATTGCCTCAATTACCATTTATTTACACTATATCAAAAACTAAATATAACCTACCATTAAATCAAGACTATGAATACCAACATTCATTATTTTATTAATAGCAGTATTCTATTCAGTAATATAATACTAACATTCTATTTACAATTAAATAGTAGTTCAATAATTCTCGTTAAGGGACCTAACAAGAAGATTGTGACTTTGGGCCAGTCACTCTTTATCAACCAACCCACCTCACAGAGTTGTTGCGGGGAAAATAGGAGGAGGAAGTTGTGTTGGATATGTTTTCCACCTTGAGTTAATTATAAAAATAATAAAGGCAGGATACAAATGAATAAAAATAAAATCTTTGCCCACCTATATGTGATTAAGGATAAAATGGAACAGAGAAGAACAGTCAAAAGATACTTCAAATTTCTCACTCTTAGTCACAAGAGTCACCTGGGTCACATGACCTGCAGTAAGTTAATAGGTCATTGTTACCTTTACGGCAGCCCTCCTGCCTGTCTCTAGAAAAAGACTCTTTGTCCTAGATTTGGGGCAAAGCAAGTGGAAATGACCAAGCTCCGATAGTAAATATGTTCTTGGTTTTCGTTTTTGTTTTTTTTTAATCTTATCCCCTTTTTGTACATTTTAATAAATAAAACACCCACTTGATATATTTGGAAATTTCAGATACGTTGGGGTAGTGATGCTACCAGGAATTCTCACCAGGATATTTCTAGAAGATTCTACTTATAGAAGACTCATTGGATGTCCTGATGAGGATAGTGATGTTTTGCATTCACAATTTGAATGTGGCAAATTATTATTGTTCCCTTCCCTTCCCATCCCCCCCTCACTTCTGTAGGGCTTGTCCTTTATATGTTGCCATTGCCAGTCTCAAAGTCAGAGTGCCTATTTGAACCAATTGTTACGGAATGTGATTCACCAGTATTTGGGACGCTTTCTTCTTCTGTCATCTCGAGCCGGGCATCATCCCATCTTGCTGGCGTTGCACGGTTCTGCTGCCACTCCAGAAGCCATTCATCTACACAAGACGTCTGTCCAAGTCATCAGGTAACATCCAGAAAATAAAATCAACGGTTGGCATTTAAATGTTTAATAGCTAAATTGGTGGAGGAAAAAATGCATTGGTGTCTTTACTTTGAAAGCAATACAAGCATGATATTGTAGGAGGAAATGCTCAGAACTTTTTAGCTGAAAAATATCTGGATTGATTTAATTCCATCAGAACACACTGTGTATAACCTGTTTCCCTGAAAATAAGACTCAACCGTAAAATAAGCCCAGCATGATTTTTCAGGATGCTCGTAATATAAGCCATACCCCCAAAATAAGCCCCAGTTAAGATCATCAACCAGATAGAGGCGTTTAGTACTGTATTTCCCCCAAAATAAGACCTAACTGGAAAATAAGCCATAATGCATCTTTTGGAGCAAAAATTAATATAAGACCCGGTCTTATTTTGGAGGAAACATGGTATGTAAAAAAATTTGGGTGAAAATGCAGCTGAAGACCATACAAACATATAATTCTCATTACGTATCCTAAAGAATGATAGAATGATTTCTTTTTATTTTCTTCCAGTGAAAATTATCTACAGTTCAAAGGTAATGCCCCTCCTCCTCGCCTAGGATCGGTGTTAGCTTTCACTCTTGAAGCACTGCAAAGGACCAAAAGCATTGAAATATATGATGTTGAGACGTTGCTGCCTTCTGTCTTAAAGTGCCTCATATTGGTTAATGAACCACAGGGTAAGCTTAGGAGCTTCCGTTGTTGTCTATATAGAGGTGCATTAGAATATCAGAAAGTATAAGAAAAAGATCACAGACTTCATTGTACAAGGATAATATATACGGATGGTGGTGAATACAAAGATTTTCCAATCTGGCGATAGACTTGTGAGTGATTAAAGGATCTTACAACTATAGTAGATAGTTAATGTCTTGAATCAGCCACTGGCATCATTTGATCATCGATATAATCAGACCTAAATTGATAAAAAAAATTCTGGCATTTATTTCTTAAACTCCAAATGCTTAATTTACAACCCTAGCTACAGAATTAACTCGAGAAGAAATAGGTTCTGTACTGACATATAATGAAAAGCTTTCTAGCTGAGTAAGAGCCATGCAAGGACAAACATGACAAATACCTACTGGGCTGCTTTGCATATTAGTGACAGCTAACCAGTGCTCAAGGAGGCACAAGCAGTCCTCGCTTAATGACCATTTGAAGTTGCAAACTAAACAGATGGTACTTATTACTGGTCCTTGAAGTTACAGCATGGTCACATTATCAAAAATTGGGCATTTGGCAGTGGGCCAGCATTTACAACCACAATGTGCATTTCAGTTCCTCCCACCCGCCTAACACCCCCCCCTCAAATCTGATTTTGGCCATCCTGCACTCTGCTGCCACCTACCTCTACAGCTCCTGGCTGACATTCTGTGTTTTCTTCCTCCTTCTGCACCAGGCAGGGATATATGCAGCAAGGGTGGCAGAACCGCATCTACCAAAGGGGGCTCACTGTCCCAGCTGGGGAGGAAGGAGGAGAAGCTAGCACTTTCCACAGGCAGAAGAAATGTGAGGTCTTCTCCTAGCAGTGCCATGGTCTTTATCTAATAACTGGGACTATCAGAATTGCTGTCACCAAGCAGCAGAATCATGTGATGTTTTGTCTAACAATCATTTTGCTTAGTGACAGAAATTCCGGTCCGAATTAGGATTGTTATGTGAGGTTTACTTCTACTACTATTTTTCCTCTTCACAACTATGCAATCTGTCTTGAGCTCAGGTGATTAAATCAAACTGGATGTCATACAGAACCTCCCCTCTACCAAACTTCCAGTTCATGTGGGTTGGCTGCTTTGCCTAGAACTGTTTCTTAGGCAGAAAAGGAACAATTCTCATTGAATGCAGTTCTCTTTAGAACAACTTTAACAGAATACAAAGTTAGGGCGAAATCCTAGTAGCAGCACTTCAGCCGCTGCTGAATCCAGGTCCTGGATTAAGTTGCTAATCAAGATTCCTGCTAGAACAGGGCTGTCAAACTCATGGCCTACAGGCCGGATGTGTCACACTCTGGCCATGCCCACGCCCAGTTTAGTGAAGGGGGGGAGTCGCAATCGGTCATGTGACACCACTGTGACAATGCGAGTTTGACACTCCTGCTCTAGAAAGAGAATTGCTTGGTTTCTTCTGTGGTTGCAATGACTTAATTGTCATGCTTCCAGAATATTCATATGATATTAATGGTAACAACCTTGAGTTAGAGAGTACTTTTAAGATTCAAATACTTCAGTTTACCATTTCAACTATTTAGTTTATTGGGTAGAACAAAGGTGAGAGATAACGGTTTGTCTAAGGTTAATGTGGCACAGTGGTTAAACTGAAATATTGCAGGCAAACTCTGCCCACAGCCTCAAGTTCGATTCTGAGAGGGCTCAGGGTTGACTCAGCCCATTCTTCTGAGGTCAGTAAAATGAGGACCCAGATTGTTGGGGGAAATATGTAAATAATGCTGACATTGTAAACCGCTCAGACTGTAAACCGCTCAGACTGTAAACTGCTTTATATACTGGTATATAAGCATATCCTCCTATTGCTATTGTGCACGCATGAGAAATATGAGGCCTGAACAGATCTACTAAAGCTGATACATTTCACATGTGCCACTTCAGGATTCTGTACAGCAAAAATTAAGAGAAATATACCTCAAAGAGGTTGGATTTTCTCAATAATTCAATAGGCCTTAAAAGATTACTATATAAACTCGGTCTCCAGCTATTTAGTGGTCATTTATTCCATTGTGCATCTTCCCTTTAAACGTTTTACATTCATTAGGCCTTGAGACACTCAGAATCATAATGCCAAAAACAATCACTCCCTCAACCCCAATCATTTCATAAACTTCCTAGGGCTCTTTTTGATGTAGCTATTCCGAGGCTCAATGCAATTTGTCTCTTGCAGTTAAAAAACTCTCAACGGAGATACTACAGTACTTGGTAGAAGGCTGCCAAACAAGGCCAGGAGGCGAGCTTGCAACCCAGCTGATTTCTGTGTTTAGGTAAGTAGAATACTAGCCAACTGGCACCGAAATGATTGCAAGCATTTGACAGAAAACATGTTCTTTTAAGCAACTAATTATCCCTAACATAATTTGATGTGGATTGTTTATATACTTTCATTCTTGGCAAGATGGTTTATTGTGTGGATTGGCCAACAAATCAGGAAGCACACGCACATCCCACCCCCTGTAGATGTTGAATACTAGGGGGGAGATTGTCATAGTTGCAGCCATGAAGACAAAGGAGTTTTAATGTGCGTTGAAGCTTCATCTTTAAGGAGAATTATATACTGCCTTGTGAAATTCCACTGTGCGTTCCTCCGTCGCTGCTCTCTCATTGACAAATATTCTTGATCTGCAGATTTGGTACAATAAATATTTAAAGACTTTCCAGGATGAGAGATTCGAAAGTGGTAAATTAAAACTTATACAGTGGTCCTCAGCTTACGACCACCATTGAGCCCATAACTTCCATTGCCAAACAAGGCAGTTGTTAAGTGAGTTTTGCTAATTTTATGACCTTTTCTTTTTTTTGCCAAAGTTGTTAAGCAAATCAATGCAGTTGTTAAATGAATCATGTGGCCATTAAGCAAATTTGGCTCGCCCTCCCCAATTGACTTTGCTTTTTGGAAGCCAGCTGGGAATGGGAAGCACATGACCCTAGGACAGTGCAACTGACATAAATGCATGCCGGTTGTCAAATACCCAAATTTTGAGCACATGCTACAATGGTCGTGTAAAAATTATGTCACTTTTTTCAGTGCCCTTGTAACTTCAAACAGTCACTAAACGATAGGTTGTAAATCAAGTTACTACATGAAATTTAAGATTATTTTGCTTCACCGTTAATAGCTTGAGGTCTCTTTGACTTTTCCAAACCCCACAGGTAATGGCGGAGCCTGAAATTCATGAGAACAAATTTTGTGTAGCATAGGAATAAATGTTACTGTTTCCTAATGTTAAGGTAATGATGATTTAATAGTTGACCAGCTGCTGTAAAGCTGTAAACCGAGATGATAACTGAGGATGAGTCAGCAGGGTTATTGCCCCTTTCAGACAGAATAGGAGTCAGCAGGGTTATTGCTGTTTTAAGAAGCTGGCTATATAAGGGAGGCCATTAGAGGGTGTCTCTCTCTCTCCTCGTACATCACTCTTCTCATTGTGTTCTATCTGCATTGTAGTTCTCCGGGTAGAGTTGAAGACTGATTGCTTGCCTGGTATGTGCCTACCACGTGTATGTCTGTTTATAGAAGTCTTGTATATAAACTACTGTTTGTAATGACAAAACCTCTGTGTCCTGTATTTTGCTCCTGGGTTGTCTCAAAATAGTAGTCATGCTGTAAACACTCTGACACCTAATATTGAATGTTATCTTTCCCAAATTTGGTCTTTTCCAAGTATTTTGAATTTACACTCTCATCATGCCTTAAATAACAGTTAGAGGTATCTAAAGTGCTTTGGTTTTGAAACATTACAAGCTCAGAAAGGGTTGTTTACCGTAAATGTTTCAGTATTGGCTGTCCATATTGCAAATGTTTCAAGCTCAAAGCTTTCAAGATCAGAAGACATTTGATACGGTTGGAATAGTATTGCAATGCTGTCAACAAAGTTGGATCGCCTGTTTCAAATTTAAAATTAAAATCAAAAACTAGTTTGACATAGTAGTTACGGTGTGGACTAGAAACATTTTGCGTTGTCTAACACTAGCCACTAGAAACAGGAGACTGTAAATTCTAGTTATCTCATAGACATAGAAACCATATGGTGACTTTGGACCATTTACTCTCCCTCTACCCAACTCTCACACCTTTCTCCGTGTGGAGAAAATAGAGGAGAGAGTATAATGTTTGAAGTATTCAAAATAAATTTAAAAAATAAAAAATAAATGGGTTTGGGCTTGAATCTGGCTGAGGAACTCTGGGAGTTGAAGTCCACAAGTCTTAAAGTTGCCAAGGTTGGAGACCCCTGATCTTCCACCCATTTACCATCATCTTCAAGCAAAGCCATTGCTGCATGTCAGCCAGGTTGTCCTCAGGGAATGATCCAAAAAGACAAGATGGATTGATTACACCATTGTGGCCACCATCTTGATTTTTTAGATCATCCCTTACAGATACTCCTGATCTCAGCCATTTTATTGCTTTTCCTTCATCTACATTATCTACATAGTACTAAACAATTCATTCAAGAAACCTGTAACTGGGCAAAATAATGCATACTGGGACAACAATTGAACCAAGATACTTCACATCAGGGGTGAAATCCAGCAGGTTCTGACAGGTTCTGGAGAACCAGTAGCGGAAATTTTGAGTAGTTTGGAGAATCGGCAAATACCACCTCTGGCTGGCCCCAGAGTGGGGTGAGAATGGAGATTTTGCAGTATCCTTCCCCTGCCACGCCCACCAAGCCACGCCCATAGAACCGGTAGTAAAAAAAATTGGATTTCACCACTGCTTCACATGGGCTAACTTACAGAATGTGTTCAAAATGGAATTGAAATTTGGCAAATTTTTATAAAACATTTCACTCATAGCATAAACAATTCCATGAAGCAATTTATAACATAATACAAAATGTCATAAATCATTTCCTGTGCTGATGTTTTGTGCTGTACAGTTCAACACGGGCTTTTTTTCAAAGCATATACATCTCTACATATCTTGCTGAATTTTTAAGAACTTTCCAGGTATAATACAAGCTCTGCCATTATTGAAGGCATTGAGAAATCTGAGAAGGAAATATCTCCGAAACGATGACCCAAGGGATCACGGGTTGTCTAGTTGTGAGGAGAAAAATTGGTCTCAGTCTCCTTTAGATTCACCTTCTTGCCACTGCAAGACCAATTTTACCGAGATACTAAATTTAACAATGTCATGGGCTTGCCACATTTATGTCATAGTAAATTAATTCCCTACATTTGGAGACCACACTTCATTACCCCATGACCAGATTACTGGAATGCTGCATTTTTAACAGTTTTGCTGAACTTGCCTGTATGTTTGCTTTTATTGCAAAAATGTGTATGCCTCCTGACTCACCAGACTTTTTATTTAGCTGTAAATATTTAACCTAATGATGTTAACTAGTGTCCATGTACGAATTCCTTGTGCCTGTTTCAGAGAATCCATTCCACGTTAGATATTTTTTTTCCAGACAGTTTCTAAAACACTAAGTACTCTGAAAAGTCATATTTAGATTTCTAAGAAGTATTGTTTGTCAGAAACACTTATCTTCAATTATAACTGTAAGAGAAGAAATTGATAGCAAGTGCAAATTGCGGGTAAAATCACACTTCCATTCTGAATAAAGGGGCAGATGTGATCGTTTTTAACTTGGATTCCTGATGTTCGTACTGCTGAATAGAAGATGCGTTTCTTCTGGACTTTTTTCTCGTTGTACAATATCTTTTTTTTTTCTTTGTGGTTCTTGGCTGTATACTACCACCACCATCACCCAGATCTGCTCCAGGAGATTCCCCAAATATCCAGAGCTGTAGATTGAAAACATAAACACTTCAGACTACTATGCAAGATGGTTGGAATAATTGACACTCTCATATACTTTCAGTGAGTCAGAGACATAGTAACAGGGATGAGAAACAAAAGGCGGGTTTAACTTCTCTGTAGGGATTACCCTACCAAAGATCTATAACTTCAGCAATGAATTCAGATTAGCCCAAACTAGAAAGGCTTGTGTTGTCTAAGTGCTGGAAAAATTGAGTTCTAATCCTGCCTTAGGCATTCAGATAGTCCTTGACTTGCAACCATTTGTTTAAAGATAGTTCAGAGTTACAACATGCTGGAAAAATAGCCTATATAATAGCCATTATATGACCTATGACCTGTTCTTGAAGTTGCAATCATGGCACCTGTTAAGGAATTCGCAGAGCAATCCTAGAGTAGCAAGGGTGTGCACATGAAAGCGATTGAGAGCAGTTGCGAATAACCACAGCCAACACACAGATACACTGAGTTGTGTTTACTTTTAGGAAATAGTAATAAGGCACAGTCCAATAAACAGTCCAGGTCATACACAGATAAAGCAATAGATAGTAAAACAGTAGTCCAGGGATATTCCAATAACGAAGTCTTCTTACCAGTCGTTGTAGTCATACACAATAAACAGTTGCAAACAGTAGCAAACACAGCAAAGAGCAGTAACGATCAGCAAAGAGCAATAATGGTCAGCAAAGAGAAACAAACCATGTTTCAAGCTTCCTCTTAAGGACATTGACTACAGAGCTAACCAATCAGGACACAGTATGATGCAATACAGCAATACAGTCTTAAAGCTATATTGAGGGTTTATATATTGCCAACCCAACAAGTTAGGTAATTATCATTTCCTAACAGCACCACTTCTGCAGTTGCAACTTGAGCACTCATCCATCCATCCATCCATCCATCCATTCATTCATGAAATTTATATGGCTGCTCACTCACTCTAAGTGACTCTGGGCGGCTTACAAACAATAAAAAAACCCCAATATAACAGAATGAAATACAGTAACCCCTCACTCCCCTGACAACAACACACAATCAAACAAGCCACTTGATGGGCTCCATTCCACTGTGGCAACTGGCTCACATTTATGATGTTGCTGTGTCCTATGGTGATCATGTCATCACAATTTGTGATCTTCCCAGCTAACTTCCAACAAGCAAAGTCAGTGTGGAAAGCTGGGTTTACATAATGAGCATGTGATTCACTTAATGACCAAACGGTTGTAAAATTGGATCTGATCACTTGACGACTCACTTAAATACTACATTGCTTAGGGCAGTGATGGCTAACCTTTTCAGAAACGAGTGCCCAAAGCATGCGTGCATGCATGAATCACCAAAATGCAATGTGTGCCCTCCCTTGTGCATGTGTGAGCGTGCCTGCATGTGCCCCACCCCTGTGCCTGCACACGTGTGTTCCCCTGCATGCGCCCTGCCCCCACATGCACTCGCGGCCCCACATGCGCCCCTCTCCACACACATGCACACGCAGCCTCCGCATGTGCCCGCCCATGCACATGCACGTACACACACACGCCACGCATGCATGGCAGAGACCCGAAGAACGGTGGGAGGCACGCATGTATGTGCGGCGGAGCTGAACTGGGGCGACAGCTCACGGGCCCACAGAGAGGGCGCTGTGTGCCACCTCTGAAACAGATGCTATAGGTTCACTATCACGGGTTTAGGGACTGAAATCCCGGTAGCAATTGTGATTGTAAGTCAAGGACTATCTGTAGAAGTTAAAAGAGTGATCTTGGACCAGTCACTTTGTGTCATCCCTAGGTAAAAGACAACCACATTTCCAAAAAAAGAAAACTGCATTGATTTGTCCACCTAGTTGCCTGGGATCATGGGGGGGGGGGGAAGTGCATACAGTCAAGCGAACAGATAAAAATGCTACTGCTTCTTTTCGTGATTCATGCAGAATTCACTTAAAGAATTCAGAGAGCTGTAATTTAGATTGGTTAAATAATTAAATGCGAGCTGATAAAATGGCCATTAAAATAAGAATAGAATATTTTGGCTTGGGAATTCCATTTTAAACGTAACACAGAGCTTTAATAACAATTGGTTCTGAAAGAAGTGCTTAGCGTTACTTTTGGAAAAGGCATTCCTAAGGATTCAAAAGGGCATGTTTACACAATTCTGAACAGGATTTACTCCTTCCTTGGGATGGCTCCTGAGGATACAAGCTGGATTTTTGATAATAGCCTCAGAATTGGATGACAAAGGGACTTTTCCATCCTTGTTCTAATCTGTGATGAAGACAAATTGTGATTTCGTGTATTGCTTTCAATTATGTAATATACACATTTTATATATAATAAATTATACATATATATTTATATTATAATAAAATAATATATTTCTATATGTATGTATATATGTATATATATATATATACATTTGTGTGTGTCTGTGTGTATATACACACATACACACACATATACACTGTGTATATATATACTGTATGTATGTATGTATGTGTGTGTCTGTGTGTATATGTCTGCACACCCATGTGTACACACTCTCAGCTGTTGTGCATTGGTTGCTTTCCTTCTGCTTCCAGATAGCATCCATTTAGATACTCCATGGATTGTTTTTCAAATAAAAGCAAGCATTTCTTGGCTGAGCCTGTTTTCTGAAAACCAAAAAGGTATCTTTGCAATAAATGCCCTTCTCTCCGCCTACAGGCAGTTTATTCAAGATTACACTACTGTGTATGATAATCAGGTTTATAGCATCTTGGAAACAGTGGCGATTCTGGACCAGTCTCTGGTCGTCTGTCTGATTCCGGTTATGTCTGAGGCCCTGAGAAATTCAGAGCACAAACAAGGCCTTGGCAGAAACACCTTGCAAAGGTAAGTGTGGGGATTACTGTTGCTTTAGAGCAGGGGTGTCAAACTCTATTTCTTTGAGGGCCACATCAGGGTTGTGTTTTGTGTGGGTATGGCCAGGATGGGCATGGTCAGTTTGACATCTCTCGTTTCAGGGGCGCCTGTGCTGGTCTGAGCGCTCTGTCAGTGAAAACAGGCTCCCGGGCTTCATTTTCGGCTGCAACGGCCTCCTGTATCCCTCTCCCAGTGAAAACGGAGCTCAGGAGAGCTGCATGTGGCCCTCCCAAGCTCCGTTTTCGCTGGCAGAGGCGCACTGCAGGCCGGTCCTTCACTGTTTCCAGGGTGGCCCTACAGGCCAGATCTAAGCATCCTGCAGGCCGGATCCAGCCTCCGGGCCTTGAGTTTGACACCCCTGATTTAGAGCAACAAAGAGATGTCCACTCATTCTTTCCAAAAGCTTTTTTGAAGGATGGTACATATTTCCTTCAGGAAGAAGTTATTCACAGTTCTTTTCGCTTAGTTCTTTCATATATAGAGATTACAATTTCGATTCCCTCTCCCCTCCCCTCCCCCCCGCCACCCAATTTGATTTCCTGTTTTCAGTTTCCACACAAATGCAGCAGTAAATGGATGTCGGAATCATCACGACGCCTTTTGTTGTGTGAACTCCATAATAAGAGTTCCCTAATCAGTATGCGTTACAGGTTTGAAACTCTTGCTGTAAGAAATATGCTACCCTTAAACCAGGTACCCTAATACTGAGCTACTATGGGATAGAGATATGAAAAAATAAGCTTTCTGAACTGAAAGAAAATTGTGTGCTTTTAGTAAGGCCCTGTGATTTTAATCACAAATCAGTTGTCATTTTATTGAATATGAAATGACCCGTGCTCTAAACTGGTGCAGTTTTAATCTTTTTGAAATGATGCTGATGCTATCTTATGGAATGGAAGTGGAAAACAAAGCCAATTTAGTCTTCTATTAACTTCCTTTACTTGTTTCCTAAGTGCAGAGAAATTGATAACAACATAATATAAATATATAATTCCTGTTGCTAGTTAGCTTTCTCTGTTCTAGTATGTTTTTCTTTCTGGTTGTAAAATAATAACATGCAAACTTTGAATGATTCTGCCTCGACAAAAAGGCCATTCAACAGGTTCTTATTTGTATCCCTGCTTATTTGGGCCCTCTTCTTTTTAATGACCACCTTCTATGTGGTTGGAAATGCTTTTTTTTTTTTTTTTTTAATTTGATTTATATGCCGCCTTTCTCCGGAGACTCCAGGCGACTTACAATGTGCTCAGCAATAGCCTTCATCCTTTTGTATATTTATACAAAGTCAGCTTATTGCCCCCACAATCTGGGTCCTCAATTTACCTATCTTAGAAAGGATGGAAGGCTGAGTCAACCTTGAGCCTTGGCGAGAGTCGAACCTGCAGTAATTGCAGGCAGCTGGTCTTAATAACCAGCTTAATAACAGGGTGCCTTAAACCACTGTACTACCAAGGCTCTTATTTGGTCCAAGATGCCTTGATTAGGTGCCTGCATTATGTAACTAAAATTGGATTGAGAGTAAAGTATATGTTGCTCAAAACAAGTGGTGTTCCTCCTCAAACAACCCAAAAGGATTTGGCTGGACTTGTGAATGTATATTCTGGAAGTTCTGCATTCTTATTTTGTCGTCTCTTCCAGGTTTTTCCAATGTCTGTATCTCAGCTTAGATTACACCCTGCAGTCTTCATATCTGAGTCCTTCGGGAGAAGGGCGGTATAGAAATTTAATAAAGATAAAGATACCTACCCATACCTGTTTTTGAGTGCTCTTTAAAGCAGGGGTATCAAACTCGATTTCATTGAGGGCTGCATCAGGGTTGTGTTTGACCTCGGAGGGCCATGGGTGGCCGTGGCCAGGGTGGGCATGGCCAGCTCGATGTCACTCGTGTCGGGGGCACCTGTGATGGCCAAATGCTAAGCCAGGACTTCCCTGAGACCCTCACTCATTCTTGTTGTAATACCCTTCCTTCTTTCCTTCCTTCCCTCCCTCCCTCCCTCCCTCCCTTCCTTTTCTTTTTCCTTCCCTCTTCATTCTCCTTTCTTCTTCCTTCCCCTCTTTTCTTATTTTTCCTTCCGTGCTCTCTTCCCATCTTCCCATCTTTTTCTTTGTCTTTCCTCTTTTCCTTTCTCCTTTCCTGTCCCTTCTTGCATGCTCAAATGCAAAAGGGGAAACATTTCTCCTTTTGTTTTCTTTTTAGTTTGTTTTGTTTTTAGTTTGTGCCCCGTTTTCGGCTGCGACCGCCTCCTGCAGCCCTCTGCCAGTGAAAATGGAGCTCGGGTTGCGTGCACCCCCCCCACCCCCCATGAACCTTTTTCACTGGCAGAGGCTCCATGGGCTGGTCCTTTGCTGTTTCCAGGCCGGCCCCGCAGGAGAGATCTAAGCACCCCGCAGGCCAGTTCCAGCCCAGGGGCCTTGAGTTTGACACCCCTGCTTTAAAGAGAAAAGTGGGGAAAGAATATTTTAAATAAATGAATTGGACATAAATATTTTATAAGCTGGATGGCGATCACTTTATAAGAAGAAAGGATTTATTTTGGACTGTTCCCGATGATGATTAAAGAATGTAAATCTGGAAAGAGAGACCTGTACTCTGAAACTTAACTTAAATGGAAATTCTTTCATAGCCATTCACAATAGTGAGCCTGACTTCTGTAGCAGAACTTTTGCCAAGCTACAGCTCCTCTAATTCTAGATCAATATCAGGGGTGAAATCCAGCAGGTTTTGACAGGTTCTGGAGAACTGAAATTTTGAGTAGTTCAGAGAACCGGCTAATACCACCTCTGGCTGTCCCCAGAGTGGGGAGGGAATGGGGATTTTGAAGTATCCTTCCCCTGGAGTGGGGTGGGAATGGAGATTTTGCAGTATCCTTCCCCTGCCACGCCCACTACACCACACCCACAGAACCGGTAGTAAAAAAAATTGGATTTCACCACCGATCAATATGCCTGAGAATTATAGAGGTGTAAACTAGGACATCTGTTAATGTAGCGACAAGGAAGAGGTTGATTGAAATAATGATTAAAATTGTCATGGACTCAAGCTGTTGCTTCAATAACTAAAAAAAAAAATCTAAAATAGTAATAATCTCATGACTTGCACTAAACAGTACAAAATTATAGGAAAAAAATATTGTCGATTTGCTTACAATAGCAAAAGAATGACATGCCTGATTCTTAAGCTCTATGACACTGGTTTTAATTAAAATGTTATATCTTTTGTTTGTTTTCTTTCTTAACAGAGAAGCCTACAAAAGACTTTTATCTCACCTCACAGAGCCTGGACAAATGGAGATACTGAAACTGGAAAATGAGTCCTATTAGCAGCATGTTGATTGGTTTGCGTGTGTGTGTGTGTGTGTGTGTGTGTTTGTTTGTGTGTAGAGAGAGAGAGAGAGGGAGATGTTGCCTAGAATGCTGGTCCTTTATGCAGACAACACATTTCCTGTGTATAGGTACATAATGTTTCTGCATATTTTTATATAAGCAGATGTGATTTAATATTTTAAAACTTCAAACAACATATGCAAAATACCCTGAATGTTTTTTCATTTCACATAAACATTGGGTGCCATTACACTCTATCAGAACTAGAAAGCTATGCCAAGAATAAAAATGTGTTATATACTAAATACTAAAAAGAAATGGGAAACACAATCTCCAACAGTATCTTTTTCCTGGTCCAGTAAATCAGCACTCTTTTGTTGTCAGGTCTTTCAGTTTGACATCTTGAATGTTTTGCACGCCAACACTTCACATGAGCAAGGCCAGGATGTGGTGAAGAAACTTGAGTACCTTATGTTAACCTTATGTGTATGCATTGCGTGGAATGGTAAGAGCTGTCCTAGCGTTGCCCCTGTTTTAAAATCTGTAAACGTGTATTGCAGAATTCGACCTCTGACCCTTTCTATGTTATCCTTATACTTGCTTGAGCTGTGTTCCTATTCTTGAATACCAAGAACTGATTCAATAATGAAAACTGCTCACCAGGTCACTATTGCTGTATGGATTCTCATTCAATAAATTATGCAATTGCCACATCTGGCGTGTAGACCCTTCATTTTAAGTAGGGTGCTATATCGACTCAGTGGCAAAACAGGTGAAATGAAATTTTTCAGTTAATAACCAGAGACTCTTTTTTTTGTGTGTGAGTGTCCATCAATTATTGTCACAAAAACTTCCTCCTAGTCTTGTTGAGAGCATTTTCTATTGTTAGGGTTTTATTATGTAAAGATAGCAGATTATCTCTTCCCTAACTCAGCTATTATTACATCAGGACCTACAGGAACTAAAAGCTTCTTTAGGCTACTTAATAGTGTGGCACCAAAACCTTCTTTTCATTTATGAAAGAAACTTACTGAATTTACATTGTAGTTTCTTCTAAGCAACTATACTTTGAGAGAGTTTAATTCAGTTCAAAAGGCCTTCATTTCTAAAAGGCTTTCTTTAAAAACCTTCAGGTGAGATTCTTTCAAAATCTGAGTCTTTACCTTTCAGTAGAAACGCGAAACAGAAATACGCCTTTTGCATTAACTTTTTGAGTGCAAAGCCTTTGATTTGTAGGAAAATAGGAATTACATTATAACAGCTTGTTTAACCAAACAGTCTTTTATTGGAAATATAATTAATACTGAGATATTTAAAGAGTTTTATGAGTCTCCATTCATGAAAAATTACTCTTGAATGAGGAGTCAGTTGAAAGATTTATTAACACATCTTTTTAACATTGTATTATATGATCGCTGACAGTGATTATTTGCCTGTGGATTCAGGGAACAGATATCTAACTTGCAGAGAAGCTTTATAAATCTGCATTGGCTGATTATCTTGAGAAGTAGCGGAGAAAATTTGAACAATTGCAGAGTGCACATGACATGGCAAAATATATATGGCAATAATATACAGAAATATATAAAATGTTAAAATTTAATTGGGTACATAAAAAATCCCAAGTGCTTTATGTTTATTTTATGATTCTATTTTAAATAACTGCTTTTATGACAAATTCCTTTATCAAGTTTAGAGCCGCAATATTAATTCACTTATTTCCAAGGAGATGAATTCAGTTTTAGATAGAAATGTCTAATTCTGATTTAAATTCTGTTTATTGAATGAAGGTTTAATTACTGAATTCAGTGTGACCATTCAAAGGCTTATTAGATTGTAAACCATAGTAAATCTTTTTATCATAATGTTCAGTTATTGTTTGCGTAAGGTTATGTAGGCCATGGTTATAAATCGTAGTCAAGAAGTCCTGAGCAGAGGACTTAATGTGCAGTTAGAAAGGAGTCCTTTCAAAGATTCAAGAAAAGAAGGACATGAATGTTACATTTTCTTTACCTTGATTCCTTTGCAACCATGAAGTCTTTCCCTACACCCTACATTATAAAGATAAGTTACAAGCCTGACCTTTTTATATTTAGATAGAATATGAAAGTGTAGGTGATTAAGGCTGGCTTTTAGAGAAAGAGCTTAAGATCAATGTATTCTAGCTATTCCCAAAATGAAATTTGGACTCAGACAAATTAGGCAACAGAAGCAATCCTGACCTTAGTCCTACTCAATGTATACATCTAGACAACCAGTTTGATCTAATGGTTAAGGCTAGAAACTGGGAGACTGTGAATTCTAGTCTTGCCTCAGGCATGAAAGCCAACCGGGGTGATTTGGGGCCAGTCATTCTCAGGTCAACCACCTCACAGGATGGTTGTGGGGAAAATAAGGGGACAAAAGATTATTAGATACATCCACCTCCTTGAGCTTTTTATAAATAGTAAAGGCAGGATAAAATAAATAAGTCCTTTAAAATATGCTTATTAGTAGTGACGTGTACTTTCTAAACTTTGTAGAAAGCTCAGGATGATGTGGTAGGTCTCAGATTTTTTTGCCAAGGTAAATTCTACCTTCTACCTCTTTGATAGGAACCTCCCCATTTGCACTTTCAGTAGTCAGAATGCAGATATAGAAAGCCAGTTTTAGAATTTTTGCTGCCACGGTTTTGAGGATTCAGTCCATTAAAAGTTTTCATTTCTCATTTTGGATTTTATATGTTACCCGTTATAGCGCTTCATTTGTATTTTATGTATTACAGCATGCATTTAAATGGTAGAACCTGCCTTTTCCCCTCCTTATAGGCTTTTTGTTAATGCTGTATATTTCAGTGTACTTCTAATCCCCCTGCAAATTGAAAGAATTTGGCCACCAATACGATCCACTTTCATTTTAGCAATGGAGAAGAAAGCATCCAGTAGGCACATAAATTGCTCAGTTTCTTAACCATCAAACAATTTTCTATGATATTGCATAAATTGTTGAAAATTCATACTAATTGCCATCATTTACAATTATAGGCAAGTCCATTTTGTCAAATTCTGTATTTTTTTATTGTTGGAAAGATGAAAATGTGTCTTAAATTACTTGAGAGTTTTATTTCACATAAGTGATGAGGTATTTTGCCTTATTACAAAAGCTTCTGAGATCCAGGGGGTGAAAGATGTACCTTCATCATAGAATGAAGCATTTTTTTTAAAAAAAAAAAATCTAAATGGTATTTATAAAGTCTTCCTTCCCTAGCAGGTTATTCTAGATATAACATACTCACCTAAATGGAACAGTTCAGCAAGAAAATAGGTGTCTATGCTGTACTCATATTTTTATTAATAATTTCTTTGCTAAATAAACTTGAGTGTCTATAAAGAAAGGTAGATACGCCAAAATTAACTGTGACAAGCATGAAAATGGTTAGGAAGCAAACAGCTTCAGGCATTCCATGTGCTCATCAGATCTCTGTACCAAGGGCATTTGACAATGTTTGATAATGGAGTTTTACTTTCCTTGTGTGCCTTGCACAAAATTGTAGGTACAATTCCACAGAATGTGAGATTACAGACATCAGTAAAAATGTATTACATTTTTGTTGATTAAGCTGCACTAGAAAACTCTCAGCTTTCTTCTTTTTTCCGTAGCTAGTTGATGTATGTAGTTGGTTTGTTGAAATTAGCTTGGATAAAAGCTATCATTAATGTAGATTATTCCACGTCAGCCAATTAGTTAAGTGGTACCACACTTTATTTTGGGGGTAATAGCACTACAATACGTTTTCTTTCCTTTTCCATAAGAAAAGCAAGCATACAGAGAATCCAAGAATTCCCATAACAGTCTTGCAAATCTTAACAGAAGACAGGTGCTTTGTTAAAGAACCAGAAATAAATGTAGAAGTACATCCTTAAGGATTTTCAAGTCAATCTTTGACAGAAAAAAATTGTGTCATATGTAGACTTTGTTTAGAGCTGAATATTACTATTACTACCGGTAATAGTAATGCCATCAAAGATGTTACTTTATAACCCCCATTTTCAATTGGCTTTTCCTTGATATGATTTTGAAGTTTTAACCATCGCTGTACAGTAGTATATTTGACCAGGTCTTGATACTGTTAAAATGACAAGTGCAAAAAACTAAGAATTGTCTTAGAGGGGGACTACAATTGTCCTGTACAGAGAAAATGAATATAGCTGTATATTTGAGATATTGTTAGATTCTAATACTTGCAAGGTGCATGGAGGCCACTCAAAACGATACTATATTCATTAACCTACCAATTAAACTGCTAGATTCTTGATGACAAGTTTCTTAAGAACTATAAAGCCAAAGGTGGGAACTTGCTGTAATCCAGATATTTCAGGCTCCAGATCCCATAAATCTTTGCAAGACCAGTGTTCAGGTAGTTTGCAGAACTGTAATCTAAACTATCTGGAAAGAACCATTATCCCAACATCTGGGACATTTTCACGTTTGTTAAGTGGCCACTATGGCCAGAAAGATCTTTGTACTGTTAAGTTTTCCTCAATTAGCTATGACCAGAAGGCTTAGACAATTGCAACATGCTACACATGAGGGTACCCTTGAAGACAATCTGTATAAATGCAGCAAGGTGTTTCACATTACCTCCACCTGACAGAGGAAGTATGCCTTTTGTGTAGAAGCATCCCCTTTTTTTGGAACAACCCACAACTGAAATACATAGGGTTCCCATCCTTCAAGCATTCCAGAAGTTTCTGAAGACCAGGTCTTCATCTGAGTTTATGGTGTCGGTGGAGCCCTTGGCAATGGTTTGGATGTTATTAATGTGGGACTGTCTTGGAGTCCAAGTATGAAATCTAAAACAATAATACACTTTTGGCTGTTAATGTCAATAAAGATGCTTAAAAACTGCATATATATGCAAATTTCCTGTGATTTCCTAAGTTGGTTTACTGCATAGAAAAACAGCACCACTATGTGCTCCTCTGGTCTGTTAGAAACTCAAATAGTTACTGTGTGAAAATATATTTTAAGAATATGAATATAAACAAAAAGGCACTAAAATGCAGTAAATAGTGAAAAATGTTATTTTTATTGTAGACTATGCACATATGCCAGTAATGTTGAATGGAGGCACATTTGTTTGAAATTCTTCATCTTTGATTTGTTTTATACCTCAGCATATTCAAGCATGCAGGTTACGAATTTGCAGTGGGTACACAATTATCAATATGGTATCTCTTTCAAATAAATGTCAAAATATGTAAGAAATTGGTCATGAAGTTATTAATGATAAAAAATATTACTGTAGATACCCTGCATATATTAAAATAGATTGTGAGAAGTGTAAAATGGCAGTTTCCTATTTTTTTTTTTTCTTCAAGATTCAGGCATTCGTTTTAGTTATTTTATTCATCACATTTCTATACTTCCCCTCTCACCTAAGTGACTCTTGAATGAATTAAAAATTCAGAATACATTATTTTGAAATTATAATGCCTAAACAACTGGAAATATCATGAGACATGCATGATTTTTCAGAATGAGCTCAAGCCTCATACTAATACTTCTTGAAAAGGGGATAAATAGGAAATTACAGCCATGTTTTACCCTCTTTTTTTATAATCATCATTGCTCCTTGAAGAGAATGTGTGTCAGTTATTTGAAGATTTAGGTTCAGTCCCTGGTATCTTAAGGATTCAAGTAGTGGCATGTTTTTATATCTATGGTAGATATGATAGTTGGATGTAAAGCTGGCTGCTGTGCTTCAAGATGGGGGGAAAAATTATCTGTCAAAGAAACTTGGGGAAAGGGGAATGTTCCATGCACCAAATGTCTGGCCAATCACAATGTTCCTGACTATAGAGAAATGTCAGGAAAGTAATATGGCATTTCCCACCCTCAATCTCCATAAATTCACCCATTTTGATTTAAGTTTCAAGATTACTTCATTTCCTGTGTTTCGTTTATGCTAAAGTTATTAATTGCTAATTATGACATTTGGCTTTCATGAAATTTCACACACCCCTTGCTTGATATCAAATTATTGGTTTTGAAAAATCTAAATATATAATTGCCAAAACGTGTAAAATTGTGGATGATAATTCTACATTTTCAGGTACAGGTTACCAAAATTGCATACGATTAGCAATTTAGAAGATTGCCAACTGCTGTTGTAAATTAAGTTGGGTTTCTTCATTGTCAGAAAGCACTGGGAATGTTGTTTTCATTGCTTGTGAAGTGAATACCCAGCCAATCTTACACTTACTGCATTTCTTGGTACACTTCTTTGGTCGTAGCTTGTTTTTTGGCTGTAATGATATATCAAACAACAGAAGCCTAAAATAATATGTAACCAAGTAACAAAAATATTGCCTTTAGTGTTTTTGGTTATGAAAACTTAAAAACTGGATCATAGATCTCTAGTAACTACACAAAATATCTTCAAAAGCTGGAAAAGAAAAATCATAATTGTCCAGCCAGATGTATTTTGAATCCTTTTGGAGAAAACTTGGAACATGCAGCAATCAGCTTTACAGTGGTATGCAAAACGCTTCACATAAAATTGAAATTCCCTGTTTTGATTTCAATTTTTTTTCCCTCCAAATTTGAAATGAGCAATTTATCATCCTAAAAGTCTTTGTGCTCGAATCACTTCTGGGATTGGTTGATCTAGTTCATTTCAAACTTGAAACAGATCCTCTTAAATTTACATCAATTTAAATTCAACATCTTTGTAAATCCCTTAGTTTTACTCCTTTAAAATTTATTCTGATAAGCTTGATAAGTATTGTTTCCTAAACAAGCTTTTTAATTTTAAAAATTCAGGATATTGTTTAGGTATTAGCTGTTAAAACTAAAAATGGTAAAATTAAACTTTTATTTTCTCCAACACGTTAAAAAAATTATGGTTTCCAGACATCACTTAGGAAACAACAATGCAAGGTAACATACATGGTCCAAGTAGCAAGTCTGTTGTCACTCCGGCTTTATGAGACTTCCTTTATAGTGTCACATGTCTGCGTTTTCTACAAGTAAAACTATATCTACGTGACTCCGGTTTTTAGCCCCTGTCTGATCTGTGAGGCAAGTATGAGAAATAGCCAGTAGGTTACAAGCACCTTTGCAAGTAAAAGTTGTTGACACAACAGTATGTATTTTCAACATTTCTAATTCCAAGGACAAAGCCCAAGAAAAAACCTTCAAGAATTCAACAGTCCAAGCGCCTTGTAGTTTGTTAGCCCACATTTTGAAAGGTAGAATTCTTTAAATTTCCTTTGTATACTTTTTTGCAAGGCAGTGAAAATGACAAAAACAGGAGCAAGGGATTAAAGTGCAAAAAAATGCTTTTCGGAATACTTGGAGAAAGATTCTTAATAGGCAAACATGGTCAAAGCCACTTGAAGACCAGAGACCGGTGTAATTCTGCCACCTTTTGTTGCTTTTTGGCTTCTACTGCACTTAATACAAGGTTAGATTCCACAACCATTCAATTTTGTTGATGTAAAGACACAATCAGGATGAATGAAGTAGCTTGTTCTCTTGTGACCAGGTTCCTTTTCTCATACATTGCCCATCTTATGATGAGGCACTTGCAAAGGCTGCAGATTTGGGCATGTGGCATAAGGAGCGGGAAGAAAACAGGCTGCAATTCCATTTGAAGCAAAAGGCAGAGAAGGCCCATAGAAAACTTCTTCTTTTCCTTCCTTACTAACATCTAGCACCTGTGTAAGGAAAAACAGCAATCACTCTTAGACTTATATATCAAAATGATATGGGGGTTGGGGGGGTTCAAGGTTTTTTATATAAAGGGGATAATGATGGGGTACATTCTATGGAAGTCTGGGGGGGAGGGGAGGGTTAGGGGGTTAGGGAGGGTGGGTTGGGGAGTTTGGGGTGGGTTAGGGGGGTGAAATTGGGGTGAAAATGTAATTGTAAAACTTTTACAATAAAAAAAAAGACTTATATATCGTTCTACAGTGCTTTACAGCTCTCTCTGGGTGGTTTACAGAGTCAACATATTGCCTCCAACAATCTGGGTCCTCATTTTACTGACCTCGGAAGGATAAAAGGCTGAGTCAACCTCGAGCCAGTTGGGATCAAACTCCTGGCAGTGGGCAGACTTAGCCTGCAATACTGCATTCTAACCATTGTGCCACCCATGGTTAAAATTAAGTCTATGCTATTTTATTCAAAGCAAACTACAAAATTTCATATAAGAAATATCAAAGGTGAGGCCACATTCAGGTTTGCTTTGGTTGTGGTTCCTTTGAGTCAGTGTTGACTCCTGGCTACTGCCAGGACAATTCTCTGCAGTTTTCTTGGCCAGGTTTTCAGAAGTGGCTTGCCCATTGCCTCCTTCCTAGAGCTGAGAGAATGACTGGCCCAAGGACATACAGTTGGCTTTGGGCTTAAGCAGGGCAGCAACTCACAAATTTCTAAACCGGTGCCTTGAACACTATGCCAGACTGGCTCTCTTTATGCACTGTGGACTACATAATTAAAATGAATATTGTATACTATCTAAAAAAAATACTGGATATTAAAAAAAACACCTAAAGGTAAGTGATATTCTAAAAAATTCAAGCATACAGTGAAGTAGTAATATTCATGCCATTTTTTTAATCAGAAATTCACCAAAAAGCTCTTTGGTGATCTAAAGTATCTGATTAAGTACACTTAATATAAAACTGCACATGGCTACACCATTATGCATCCCAGTTAAACATTTTCATAAAAATAATTAGTGAAAGGGTCCAATAGTTTTCTTAAACGTTTTCTTGTTCCTATTCCTCACCAAAGCATCCCTCATCAGGACAATTTGAAAGCTATCAAAAGGACAGTTACCTGGATACATGCTGAGGGTTCATTTGTCCAAATTGAGTAGCCACCAACTAAATATATTCTGCCATTGTGTACAGCCACTCCAGATTCATTCTGACCTGATAAAGAGAAAAATAAACCATGAATTTCATTGACTTATTAAACGTCAGAATGCCTTTATAGCACAATGCCACACATCTAATGCTGTGACAGTCTCAGTTAATTTTAACATAACATGCACCAGAGGATTGTATATTTTTCTGCAAATGCAATACACGTTTGTCCCTCCAGCTGATTTTTTTTAAAGTTCCTTCTGGATGGAATTTTATATGCAACTGTGTTTGGTAATGTTAGGTATACAATATAAGGTGCAAGGCATTGTAGTGGTCATGAAGACAGAGCTCTCTTTTAGAGGAGGAGGAAAAGTTCCAAATGAAGCTCAACTGGTGATTTAATGGGTTAACTGTGGGACCAGTTCACTCCCACAGAGAGGGTCTCCTCAGGGTGCCATCGGCCAAGTTATGTCGGCTGGCGACACCCAGGGGGAGGGCCTTCTCTGTGGGAGCCCCAGCCCTGTGGAACGAACTGCCCCCGGAAATTCGTAAGATCTCCGACCTCCAGGTGTTTCGCTGCGCACTGAAGACCCTGTTGTTCCGCCAGGCCGGACTATCAACACAATAGTTTTAAATTGGGGTATTTAAATTTTTTGGGGTTTTAAATCTGAGCCAATTTATTTAATTATTTTAAATTTTATATTGTTGTTTTATCTGTGTTTTTAAATAGGCTGTACACCGCCCTGAGTCCTTCGGGAGAAGGGCGGTATAGAAATAAAATAATAATAATAATAATAATAATAATAATAATTATTATTATTATTATTATTATTATTATTATTATTATTATTATTATTTAGCAACCACTTCCCCCGTCTACTCCATCTCCAATCATCCTTGAGTCTTTTCCATCCCCCTGGTGTTGTTGGATGGGGCTCAGAACCCCGGGGTAGATTTATGAGAATGGATTTAATGTCAAGGCTCTGACTAACGAATCCAAGCAAATCAGAACTCTGAAACTGACCTCAAAGGTACTCAATAAAGGTCTTCTTTATTGAGTACATCATATCGGAACAGCTTCAAAGGAAAACCAATTCTAAATCTTTCCCGCAGTTTCAGTATAATTAAACTAAGAAATAACCCCATCCCCAAATGTCACAGATCACATTGGCCAATTGGGTTAATTGGGCTCTCCAGGCATTCCTTCCCCAACCTTATCTGTTGACGGTAGAGATGACCTTGGTTCTCATGAGAAAGCACTCTGTTTTGTCTGGAAAGGCATTCAACCCCCTTCCCCCCTTCCCCTTCAGTGTGGCAACTGAGGAATGGAAAAATGGCCGTTGCCAGGTTCGGTTTGAAGTTAACATATGAACTGTAATTTTCCTCCAAAATGATCTTGAAATGCTTTGTCATTGCCACCTCCATAGATGTTGTAGATGTCATTTCAGCTTCACAATCTAGCCAACAACCCTGATACATCCTGCTATCTCTCTAATTATTAACCAGGTCTAGCCTTGCTTAGCATTTCGATGTCAGCCAAAGATGGGGCGGTTGTTTGTTTGTTTTTTGTAATATACGTCTCCTGTTAAAAATAGGATTTCTCCTACAGATTTGACACATTCTGCTAAGAACACTTGCCTGTCAACATGCTGAAATGACACCGGGTCCACTGGTCAGCATCTATGCTGTAGGAGTCTATGTGGCGGACAAGAATTCTGTCATTGTTGTAATCTAGATCATTGCCCCCTAAAACATAGAGTTTCCTTTGAACAGCAGCCATGGAATGGTAGACTCTCCTCTGCAACATGGGGCTGCGACTGAGCCATTTATTCTGCAAAAGCAGACAAAAGAAAACTTTAATTCCTACATACCATGAACATTTTAGCTGTGTTGATTTCCCATTCACCAGTACGCCGAAACACACTCATAACACCTGCTATCCAAATACATCTTGCATAAAACCGCATCATTTCTTTTAAAGAAAAGAAACCCTCCAAAATGCCTTTTTGTTTGTAGCGTAATCACTGAAAAATACAAGTTTAATGAAATTCCATCCAGGACCAAAAAAAAAAAAAAAAAGACCAATTTTCTGTTATTTCTAAGATATTTTATCATTTTGATGAGTAGCAATATTTAAGGCCAGCATGGAAACTATTTTGAGCTGTTTGAAACATTGTTAAGTGGTAAGTGTCAAAGAGCAGAAGTCAGAAAACAATTGTTCGATGTAGTCCTTCCAAACGTAGAGCTATCCATTAAACTGTGCAACACCTGATTGGGAGAAATTAATATTTGCATTTACAGTGCATTCCCTTGACACAGGACTATAGACACCATCTGCTTTGCAAAGCCTGCCTGCATCCCCTGATTATATTTTAGCTTCCTTCACAGCAGTGACTGCCAGGTAAGCCGCCAAGCACTGCAAAAGCAAAGAAACGGGAGTGGGGGGCTGGTGGGGTCATTCCTAATAAGTCAGCGTGTGAATACTAATCAGCAGTGGAGAAGCAGAGGTCACCCCAGCCTGCCTGTTGGCAGGTAGCGATGTGCTCGGTGGCAGATGGTAGACATTATCAGCACACCACAAAGGCCTTGCGCAGAAACAGGCACAAGCACCCAACGAGATAGAGTTATTGAGATTCTGTGCAAGACGCAGGCAGATGCGAGGGGCTTCGAGTGCCCACCATACAATCTGCCAGCAGATTTTTTTTTAAATAGAAATAAATATGTGTGTAAAACCATGAAGCAACCCTCGCTGTAAGAATGCTAGCCCGAACTCGCTGCCTTTTCATTGTTAGCGCAGCCTGCGGGGATGGAGTTTGGGAGCAGCCAAAATGTGACAGCCCATGGGAGAGCGTGGCAGACCGGGGGAGAGGGGGGGAAGGACACATGAAAAAGGGGAACATTTGACATTTTAAGGTTTAAACAGAGATAGCCTTTATTCAGAATGGGGGCAACATTTACCATATGAGCAAGTCTTTCCATACAAAGTAAGCCTTCTGGCTGTACTTGTCCGATTGAGGCCACAGGGCTCAGTTCGACAGTAGAAATGCTTACTATAATATTGACAAAGCAGAGCACAGGTTCTGGAATTCTTATCCAATACTCACACCAGTGGTCCCTATATGAAGGACCTGTATTTTCTCCTGGTAATTCGAACAGCTGGTCTAGTACTAAAAATGTTGAATGGCATTCGCCTTCCTCTTCTACTTGACAAACCACTGAAACCATACAATTTTTATATGTAGCCTGTTTTCAGCACTTCTTGAATGCATTGCAAGGCTTCAGCAGTTTGTTGGCTCAAGGGAGAACAACATCTTTGTTAGTAATAGGTACTCTGATTTTGAGTACAAATTCAGACTCATATACAATTCTGGCTTAAAAATAAAGTTGGGAGCAGAACTCATTCTTAACCTGGGGACTAAGTGATAAGATTCAGTCTTATGAATTCCATGTAAAAAACTCAAAAGAAACTGGGTAGGGCCTATAAAGGATGCTAATCTCAGGTGAAATCTTTTATTTACAACCACTGATAAAGCTCAAGAACATGATTCTTTCAGCAAACAAGGACAGGCAGCACCTGGCTGCGGAGAGATTCTGCACAATTAAATAATACACCTTCCCTTGCCACCTCATTGAAGTACATGGAACATGAAGTCAACATGAGAGAGAGAGAGAAAAGCTGTATGTCTTTTTGTCTTTGGGCTCTCACATGCATTCACACAAACTACGGTGCAGAAGTTATTGGAGAAGCAGAGCTAGACTAGCAGAATGAATATAAGCTTACCTGGGTTGGATCATACACCATTAGCCTGTTCTGATACTGCGCCGTGTTTGTCACTCCTCCTGTAACAAACATTCATAGTGTTAACAAACATTAAACCCAGTTGGGAAGAGTTCATGGGAAATTATTAGTAAGAAAGCATGCTAATGTAGAAAAGAAAATTGCTGAGTTCAGAAGTCTTTCTAGCCTATTTATTCTATTTATAAATTAATATAAAATGATGTGGATTTGATTGGATCAAATCATTACCAGCTAAAACAAGACACATATTTTATAACCTAAGAATATAGTGCATTTTGTGGGGAGGGGAAGGGTATCTGTATTGTGTATGCTGTGGAAGAATCTCTTATATAAGCCAACTCAAAAATATGCAGTATTTTGTTCCTAATGTGTAATGGTAAAGAAACCTTAAAAATCTTTCTAAGGTTTAAGATTTATTACATGTACCATATTTACTTGTGGATAAGCCAAAAATTTAGGTGCCAAAATAATGAAAAAAATGGGTTCGTCTTCTCCCAGAATATATATAATAGATTTCCCCCTTAGCTTTTTAAAATACCCATATATCCTGTAAATACTCATAACCTTAACTATTGACAAATCTGCCTTCAAATTTCCAACCAAAATACCAGCAAAAATGTCCGTCCCTTAGATAAGCCATTTTTCAAGGTTTTTTGTTATTAAAAATGCAAATGTTGATTTATATGTGGGTGAGTTTATACACAAATATGTATACAGCAATATTAAACTATATCAACTATTAACTGATCAGTCAATCCCTATCAACCGTTACTTTTCCATTACTGTTCTGTGATGCCACAAAATGTTAATGAGTAAATTGCTAAAATAAAAGTTCACTTCCAGAATATTGACAATCTAGGTTATTTTAAAAGAACCATAACTTTTTCTGTATTACCTCTCCCATCCATTACAAATAAGTATTACTATACTTGAAAATTAATTCACTCTGGTGTTAGAAATATATCACCTTTCAAATAAAGGAATACAGTACACCAGAGTATAATTAAAGTCTATTTTAAAACTCCAAGCAAGGTGCTGGAAAGAGGGGGAGAAACATTAAAAAGAAGTCAATCAAAATGATGGGCTTTTAATAAGAAAACACGAAAGGAAACAAAGAGATATTTCTTGGTAAACCTTAGGATGTGGGGAAGAGATTAAACTAGGTAGAACTGTTGGGGCTTTCCTATTTATTGTTCCAGCAGGAGCCATGAGTGGAAGCCAATTTTTAGATGGCACACCAGTTCCTTCAGTAGTTCCATCCCATCTAGAGTAACAGATGGAACATCTATGGTACCAGAAAGTTTCCATGTTCACTTAGAATTGAGTATAGTCAATTTCACCTCAACCAGTCTCTCATAGGCTTTAAGTGCTGATCAAGACTTATACTGTATTGCCTATATGACTTTAATTAAAAGTCAATACTTCTAATTAATCTAAAGCTGGACACTATCACCATAATAGTGACGCACGGTAGCGTAGTGGTCAGAGTGCAGTACTGCAAGCTACTTCTGCTGACTGCTGGCTGCCTGCAATTTGGCAGTTCAAATCTCACCAGGCTCATGGTTGACTCAGCCTTCCATCCTTCTGAGGTTGGTAAAATGAGGACCCAGATTGTTGGGGGCAATATGCTGACTCTGAAAAACCACTTAGAGAGGGCTGTAAAACACTGTAAAGTGGTATATAAGTCTAAGTGCTATTGCTATTTCTATAATTACAATACCTGACCCCAAACTGAATGATGATCTCTTCTATCAGAATAACAAAGTTGAAAGTTCTTCTAGTCAAAGCCTCTGCATAAGCAGGAGACCCTATACCATTCTGGACAAATGGCTTTCCAATCTTTTCTTAAAAGCCTGCAGTGATGGAGCATCCACAACTTCTGAAGACAACCCGTTCCACTGGTTAATTGTTCTGTCAGGAAATTAGGTCTCCAAGATCCCTCTCACAGTTACTACTATTGAGCCAGGTTGCACTTATTCTATAACTATACATTTGGTTTTTCTTTCTTAAGTGTAAAACTTTACTTTTCTTACAACTGAATTTCATTTTGTTTGATAGGGCCAATGTCAGGGTTCCAAGTAACACCCCAACGAAAGAAAGCTGAAAGAAAGAAAGCAGATTTCAAGTGTGTTGAGATTCTTCTGGATCTGAAGCCTATTTTCTGAGGTGTTGGTTATTCCTGTCAGCTTGGTGTCATCTGCAAATTTGATGAGTTCCCTTCTATTCCTCCATCTAAATCATTTATGAAGATACTGAAGAGTACTGGGACTTAAACAAAACCTTGGGGTACCCCACTGTTACTTCCCTCCATTTAGATGTAGTTCCATTAAGAACTACAGGTTGAGTGCAGTTTGTCAGTCAGTTACAAATTCATTTGGTGGTGATGATGTCTATCCCACACTTTTCTAACTTACTAAGAAGTAGGTTGTGGTGAGCTTTGTCAAATGCCTTACTGAAATCCAAGTATACTATGTCCACAGCATTTTGCTGAGCTACTAATTTGTCAAAGAATGAAGTAAGATTTGTTTGGCAGTTTCATGTAGATTTTAAATAAAATGGGGGAAGGACCAAGCTTTGAAACACCCCACACAGAAGTGCAGGTTTTTAACATCTCCTTCCTCCTCCTTTAACATCTCCTATATTTACCAAAAAATTGTAAAACTTCTAAGATGGCTAGATCAAGGAATGGATATTTTAAAAGTGCACACTGTACTGCCTACTTAAAAACATATGGCAAGAATCCCTCCACCAAAAATCCCTCTACCACCTCATGGACCCACATAAAATCATGTTCTTTCTGGCTGCACGAATCATTCATAAGGGAAAGGATCTAAGTTGTAAGTGGCTGAGCTCATTCCATAGATGATCCTCAGGGAAATTAAATGTTAAGGGCTCAAAAGCACCTCACAAGATCTTGGTCACCTCATATAAGACTTGGCCAATGTAATATCCATTGGCCAAGTCAATGTAATATTTATTTTATTCAAAATAAAAATGAGTGATTTTTCTCCTCAAAAAACATAACAAATTACTTACAAATGCCAGCAAGGGGATCTTCTGATGTTCCCAAATTCTGTCAAACATGGTCTCAGACAAGTTTAATAAACCAATACCACTCTAATATACTGTATGCATTTCACTCATTACCTTTCCCATTGTATAAGAGAGCAATTGTCAATCTACTCTGTCATGAGTACAATTTTATTTTAAATCATGTTAACATTTCTCCATAAATACCTGTGGTCTTACTATTTTTCAATATTCTCAAAGCATATATGTCTTCCTTGTTGCCAGTTATTTCCCCCACCCCCAACTTGGACCCTAACATTTGTAGTATTATTTCTATTCAGCTCTGATGAATCACTCTCATTCCTTTACAAATCTCTAAAATCCTCTTCTGCCATTTCCCCACTTCAATTTCGTTTTAAATAATTTCATTATTGTTGTTTCCATTCACTCTGCTAGAGGCTCACTGCCTGCTCCTTTTCATCCAGTTCCAAAACATGTTTTTTAAATTATTCCCTCAAAACTGCTTTGCGTACTTCCTGCCCTTTTTAATCTTTGCAGCTTTTTTTTAATTCTACACAACTCATGTTTCCTTTGTCCTAATTTTTGCACTCATTATCTTATAGATATCATCCACAGTTTATTTCACTTCATCATTACACTAAGCATCCTTTCTCATGCTTCTCATTAGCGTAACTGCAGAGACATCTGTGGCATTCTGTAACATAAGTCTTTTCACTCTGTTCAAAGCAGCTTCCAAAACATTCTTTTCTTACATCCATTCTTCATCCATTCCATTGAGAGATTAATATGTTCTCTAATACTTTCTCAGACTTTGTGAGTTGTACTTCCACTGTAATTTGTTTTCTCTTTCATCACCCCTTATCTTCCATGGAATCTGCCTTACATCATAACGAATTAACCAATTATGCTTCTAAGATTTATATCCATTGTTTTGTTTAAGCGACAGGTAGTCCTTGGCTTACAACCACAATTGAACCCAAAATTTCTGTTGTTAAGTGAGACGTTTGTTAAATGAGTTCTGTCCCATTTTACGACCTTTCTTGCCACAGTTGTTAAGTGCATCTCCACAGTTAATAAGTTAGTAAAATGGTTAAGTAAATCTGGCTTCCCCACTGACTTTGCTTGTCAAAAGGTTGCAAAAGGTGATCACATGACCTCGGGACACAGCAATGGTCATAAGTATGAGTCAGTTGTCAAGCATCTGAATTTTGATCACTTGATCATGGGGATGCTACAAAGGTCATAAGTGTGAAAAATGGTCATTAGTCATTTTCCAGTGCCGTTGTAACTTTGAATGGTCACTCAATGAACTGTTGTAAATCGAAACTACCTGTATGCATTAAAAATGAATCTTCTAAACAAATATTCCCGAGTAACCATTCTGATTCCCTTTCATCTTGGGTGTCTGAATGGTCCGTTCTTGTTTTTTGTACTCTCATCTCATAATTATCCATCCATTTGTCTTACCTAATGGAATAACTTTTTGTCAAAGATCACATTCATTCCGAATAATGTGCTATTTTTCCTTTAAAAAATTCTTATTTTTCATTATCATCATTCACTGAAGGATTACACGAGGCTAGAGCGTTATCTAGCAATCTAGAAAAGCCAGTTTCTGTCTGGCACACATTTATCCCTTTCATCCACAATTAAATCTACAGATCCACTGTTATACTTGTATTTCATCAATCCTGCTACATTTCTCTCTTAGTGTCACAAATGTAGAACATGGTCTTTTCTTTTGATTTCATCCTATAATGTGGACTGTTTATTATTTATTCCCATATTCAAAGTTGCAGAGTTCAAAATTTGCCATGGGGTCACAAAATGGGCCCACAGAAACTTATCTTTCAATTGAGGCTTTCCCACAACATTTTTAGTTTAAAAAAGAAGGAATAAATATAGTAGCTTAAATCATACCAGCATCATATGCAATATTCCTTTACTATAATAAAGGCAGTATCAATTAATCCTGGCACATTTCGGCCACTGTGCCACAAATATAATCAAA